CAGGAGGCCGCCTGATGCACGACCCCTTCGCCATGCGCCCCTTTTTCGGCTACAACGCGGGCCGTTACCTGGAGCACTGGCTTTCCACGGGCGAAAGGAGCAACGCCCGCCTGCCTCGTTTCTTCCACGTTAATTGGTTCCTGAGAGATAACGAAGGTCGCTTCGTTTGGCCCGGCTTCGGTCACAACGCCCGGGTTTTGGCTTGGATCTTTGGGAGGATCCAAGGGAAGGATACGGCCAGGCCCACCCCCATCGGGTTGGTGCCCAAAGAGGGAGCTTTGGATCTGGAGGGGCTGCAGGGGGTGGATTACGCTCAGCTCTTCCCAATGGAGAAGGGATTCTGGGAGGAGGAATGCAGGCAGCTGAGGGATTATTATGGGGAAAACTTCGGCGCCGATCTGCCCAGGGACGTCATGGCGGAGCTGGAGGCGTTGGAGGAGAGGGTGAGGAAGATGTGAGGGGCGGGGAGGGGGGCTGGAGGGAAGGAGGGGGTGGGGGGAGGATGGCGATGGGGGCGGAGGAGGGGGGTGCCTGCGCTGGGGGTTGGCTCGTCCAAGATGGCCGACGGCAGCGTGGGTGGGCCGGACAAGATGGCCGCCAACAGCATGGCTTGGCCAGACAAGAGTGCTGCCACAATCATGGATATGCTAGACAAGATGGCTGCCAACAGCATGGCTTGGCCAGACAAAATGGCTGCCAACAGCATGGGTTGGACAGACAAGATGGCTGCCAACAGAATGGGTTGGACAGACAAGATGGCCACCAACAGCATGGTTTGGCCAGACAAGATGGCCACCAACAGCATGGCTTGGCCAGACAAGATGGCTGCGAACAGAATTGGTTGGACAGACAAGATGGCTGCCAACAGAATGGGTTGGCCGGACAAGATGGCTGCCACAATCATGGATATGCCAGACAAGATGGCTGCCAACAGAATGGGTTGGCCGGACAAGATGGCTGCCAACAGTATGGGTTGGCCAGACAAGATGGCTGCCACAATCATGCATTGGCTGGACAAGAGATGACCAACCATAGAGTGGGTTGGTGGATCCAAGATGGCCACCATCATCATGGGTTGGCCGTTCCAAGATGGCCGCCCTACCTGGGAAGGAGCCCCTGCCACCTCATTGGCTGAGCATTCCGCTGCCTCATTGGCGGAACATCCGAGATGCCTGCTTTCCCTCGTCCCCATTGGCTCACCCATCCAAGATGGCCGCCCTGCTTTGTCCCTATTGGCTGACAACTCCCAAGTTAGCCACTCGTGCCCATCCTGCCCGCTGATTGGTCCCCCTCAGTGCCGCGATGCCCACTCATTGGTCACAGCGATGCTGCTCTCCTATTGGCCAGCCACAGCCTCCCACTGATCAAATGACACCCAGCGTCCATTCCCAGCGTCCCTTCGTCCAAATGGAGCGTTCCGATTGGCCGAGCTGCTCCCATTGCCCAAACGGCAGCGGCCCATTGGCTGCGCTCATCACGGTGGCCAATCAGAGCCGCCCGTAGCCCCCAAAGCCCTCTGTGCCCTAAAAGCCCCGCCCCCAACTCTTTAAGCCCCACCCCTTCTGGGAGAGGCGATCTGCGGACCAATAAACAATTACCGGAAGTGACGTCAGTGACCCAGTGTCTCCTTTTAATCCGGGGGGGAGGGCGGCTTCGCACAACCAATCAGCGCCGCAGCTGTCGCATGCACTTCCGGTCACCGAGCGCGTCCTTTAACGGAAGATCTACACGGCACTTCCGGTATGACTCACTACTTCCTGTGTATTTGTTTCCTCGACACTTCCGGTTTCGTTATGGCCTTTCTGTTTACCAACTCGCGCACTTCCTGTGTAAGCCCCGCCCTCTCCGGCTCAGGGCCGGTCAGGTTCCCAGCCTTTACCCGTTGACACGCCCCAGTTCCGGTCTCTGCCCCGCCTCTTCCGCCCCCCCCCC